GGGGGGGCGGCGGACGGGGAGGGAGGAGGCGCCGAGGAGCAGGGACAGCCCCACAGACACGGCCCCGCCGGCCGCCCGCTCCCGCGGCAGGATGCCAGATGCAGCCGAGAGGAGCGCCGAGCCTGGAGCCGGGAGACCTGTCCTCTAATCCAGCTGCCCCTCCCAGCCTCCGGCCTGCCCTCTGTAAAATGGGAAAAAAGTTTACAGGGATGGTGCGGTGAGACTTAAGGAAGACGGGGGGCTTTCCTCTGGCGTCCCGGAGCTGGAGCAGAGGGGTGGGGCTGTCACTTGGCCCAGACTCTTGAACCAAGAGAGAAAGGAGAGAGCAAAGATCTGTGGGGACAAGTGGGGCAACATTTCAGATTCAGTTCACACTGGTGAGCATCCACGAAGCGCCAGGGACTCTTACAGAGTTGAGCTGACGACATCCCCAGTTTAGGTTGAAAACTGGAAGTCAAGGGCATTTCTGAAGGCTGCACCGTGCAGGTGTGTGGTTGGTGGGTTTTCTCACTCCTGGGCCAGGGCTTCCTCAATGGCCTTCACTTGGCCTGTACCCTCTCCCTGGCTGACCCACAGTCACTTGAGGCTCTCCCCCTGAATTTTCCCTTTCTCATCCCAATCCCACATCGGTTTCCTCATCCTCAACTCCTGTATTTCCATAGGGATGAGAGCTTAATCTGTATAATACAAGTGGTAGGTTTCTTGGCTTATTCCCTTGGATTGGGTTTGAGAAGTCAGATTGCCTTCCCACCATACTGGTGTATGCCCAGAAATCCACAAGTTCATCTAAGATCTGCAACCAGGATGCACATTACCCTGGGACACCAGTGAGGTCTTAGGTCTTGGCAGTTGGAGGGCTAGAAACACATCATTTATAATCATTTCACTTTACATAAGGGAATAAAGTGAAAAATTGTCAAACCACACAAAAAGAAGAAAAACTAAGTACTGGTAGTAGAACATATTTTATTCCATGGTTGTATTTTGGCATAGTCTCCTTCACAGAGTCTATTCTTGGCTGTCAACAATCAGATTCTCATTGCCAAGTCCGTGTGAGTATAGCTGTATGATTCACTACTACTCCACTCCAGCCACGGGGTCTTCAAGGTCCTTCTTCCTTGGGTTCAGGAAGACAAGGGGACTGGGGGTGGGGGTGGGGCAGGCATCTTTCTGTTGAAGAAATGCTTCTCTGCTGGGGCAGAGCCTCCCTTCTGTCAAGCGTTTCTGTCTGGCTCGTGGCTCATCTTGCTAGAACAAGTCTTCCCAACAGGAAAGGACCACTCCTCTGTCCTGCCCTTTTTTTATCAACAGGTTCCCAGTGATGCCTGTGATCCGTCATCTTCCGTCAGCCCCTTCTCAGGCCCGGTGATGACTTAGAATCTTCTTCACCCTCAGCCCCACCCTACTATGCAACCCATATTTGTGACCCCAAGTAGAGCACACAAATCGGATGTTCAAAGCGGAAATAGTGGGGGTCGTCAAAAGACTTTGGCCAAGAGATTTTCCAGTCCCGGAGCCAAACGTGAAACACATTGCCAATGATACTGCGGCCCAGGAAACGACCACGGGCTTGGTTAGTTCTCTGGACTGTACACATCCAAAGATGATCGTGGTGAATAGATCTTTGAAGCAGCAAAGAATTTGGCACAGCCCGGGCTTTCCCTAAGCTGCTCCAAAGATTGTCCTCAGGAAGGAAGAGAGTCCATGAGAGTTAAAGGATGTGATCGTGACGATAAGGGTGGGCAAGGTGGTAGCTGGTAAATCCCCACATCACCTTTTCTGCACCTTCTCACTGGCCAGTGGGGCCCTGGGGATGGCCACGGGGGTTAGCCAACACCAGCCTTTTCGAGTCGTATGTCAGTGTCTCTGATAACACAATTCCCTTGGGATTTTGGGGGGGGTGGGGCTTCTAATGCAGTGGAACAGTCACAAAGCCATCTACTGCCCAAGTCACAGGCCTATCTCTGTCTCTTACTGACTTCTCTTTCCTGGCATTGCCCCAACCAGGGTCACGTGCCCATCACTGACTCAATGATTGCAGTAAGGTCCAGGCCATACATCCAAGCCTGGAGATGGGGTCAGGGTCATCCCCACCCAAATTGCAGGGTTGACAGGGAGGGAGAGATGATTCCCCAAAGGAAAGACAGGCTGATATTCCTGGAAGGAAGAGGAAAGCCTGCTGGCAAGAAAAACAAAAAATTATATGGCATATATTTGGAATAGTATGCAGCTGTTTAAAAAGAATAAGGTAAATCAGCATACGCTGATTGGGAACAATCGCCCAAGACAAATTAAGTTAGAAAAAAGCAGTATGCAGAAGAGTGCGTACAGTGTGTACTCATTTGAGTCTACCAAGATGTGGGTGAGTGTGTGTGTGCTTGTGTGAACATTTTTGCAAGAATACACAAGAAACATGAACGGGGGTTTATCTCTGTAGGGTGGCACTGAGGGGTGGAGGGTGGAAGGAAGACTCTGCTTGTTTTCTATCCTTCTGAATGTTTAACTGAGTACCTGTACATTTTCATTAAACATCCACCAACCAGGTCCCACCTTTAAGTTGCATTCAGAGCATCTATGTTAGAATTTTTGCATCAGAGGAAGATCGCTGTGTGCGTGTAATCTGTGACTTGGCTGGGATTTTGGTTGAGAGGCAATTGGCCTGGGCTAGCCAGGCCTGGGGGCCACAGACCAGGAGCTGGGCACAGCAGAGCTAACTGTCATGTGCCTTGGTCAGGAGCAGAGGCTGGGAAGAACTTCAGAGGAAGAGGGAAGCAGAGGGCTCGGCTCTGAGAGCTCAAGTCGGGGGACTTTATTTTTGGAAACAGAGGGGGCCTGAATTTGGGATCCAAGGGTCTTTGGAGGGATCTCAGGGCAGCTGCCAGCCCACTGGGGCCCTTTTTTGGCACCCTGGCCCCAAGGATGCCCCAGAAGTGCTTGATTTTGCTTTGGCCATTAACACCACTTACCAGTATAGGGTGACGAGTGTTTATATCTAGTTAACATGTAGCAGAAACATTCTGCTAATCACCTAGACATGTCAGATCAACTCCATGGTATCGTTTCTTAGTCCAGGGACGGTGTCTGCTCCTGTGTTCAAACTTCATCAGGTGCCACTCGGGCGGTCAGGCCACCTGCTCACAACTTTACAAAATGGGGAACCTAAGAGACAACCCTGACTTGCCACCCAGGAACTGCCAGCCATATTCACTTTCCCCCATGATACATGAAAATCAAGTCGACAGGAATCAAAAATTCCTCCTTAAACAAATTCATTCAACACTTATTAAGCATTGGGGCACCTGGGTGGCTCAGTCAATTAAGCATCTGCCTTTAGCTCAGGTCATGATCCGGATCGAGCCCACGTCGGGCTCCCTGCTCAGCGGGGTTTAAAAAAAAAAAAAATCATTGATCATCAGCGACCTGCTGGGTGCTGTGTTGGGTGCTGGGAATACAGAGGTCGACAGTGTGTCCAATCCTGGCCCTCGGAACTTCCTGATGAGGGCCCCACCAGCAGGTGGAAGCTGAGCCTCTTGGCGGTCTCTCTTTCTCTTTAGAAATTCCTGAGTGAGAGACCACCAGGCCTCATTCACCACAAGGCTGAATGCCCTGGGTACCAGCTCCGAGAGTGACAAGGCAACTATGTTTAGCATTTCCTGATGGAACCAGAATCCGCAGTCAAGAAAAGCTGGTCCTGGCCAAAAGATGGACTTTTGGATGAGAATGATGTCTTCAGTAATAATCCTGCCAAAAACCACTGCCTCATGCATTAGCCTTCTCCCTAGAGGGTAATAGGAACCAGGAAGTGACAAAAAACTCAACTTGTACAGGCTGGGGAAAAAAACCAAATCTGATTTTGTGTTTTGTTCCTACAAGGACAGAAATAAACACTTTATTACAAAATGAATACATAGGATGTTTTCATGCAAACAATGTATACATTTTAAAAATAACTTTTCTTTAGACTTTGGTATACAGTATGTGCTCCTAAGCATTTCTTAATATATGTAAAATAAATACTTATAATTTTTTTTTACAAAAGTAGAGTTAATACATTCTGCAACTTGCTTCTTCTGTCATTTCATATAGCTCTATTGCATTCCTTTTTAACACTAACATAGAATTCCACAGTATGGAGGTATCAAAATTATTATTACTTCATTATTTGCCTATTGGTGGACATTGAAATTGTTTCTTTTTTTTTTTAAGATGTTATGTATTTATTCATGAGAGACAGAGAGAGAGAGAGAGGCAGAGGGAGAAGCAGGCTCCTTGGGAGCCCAATGCGGGACTCGATCCCAGGACCCTGGGATCATGACCTGAGCCGAAGGCAGACGCTTAACCATCTGAGCCACCCAGGCGCCCTTGAAATTGTTTCTAATTTTTAATAGTACAAACAACACTGCAATGAACATCCTAGCACATATAATTTTGTGCTCTTGTAGAAGTGTTTCTCTGCAAGAAATTTCTGGAAGTGGAATCAGTGGGTCAAAACTTCTCTGAGAAGGTTCAACTTGATTTTGTGGTGAAGAATACTGTATAATGAAGAGTCTGCAGATCAGAGAGTTATAAAATAATAGACAAGATTAATAATTCAGAGTAACCTGTAAAGTTTGCCCAAGGGTATGCTTTGTGGTGTTGGGCTGGCCTGGTCAGAAATGTTCCAGTCAGTTTCCTCATTAGGACAGGAAATCAGCAGAGCAGGATTCCTGAGTCGGTGTCTCCCTGATCCCACTGACATGAACGGGAGAAAAGTTTTGATGTCAGCATCAGGATTAGTCATGAACTGAACACATCAGTAGATCGCACGTGACGATGGATCCCACAGCGAGAGAAACTAGGAAGCATCGGCCCTCAGACTGGGAGGTGCTGTTCTGAAGCGAGAACAGCGCCCCCAAGAGGCGTTTGGATGTCAGCGCCTGTGCCCACACAACCGGGACTGGACCTCTGCCTGTTCAGGCAATGAGCTGGGGGTCAGTTTCTCACTTATTCTTAAACTCACCCAGAAATATTTGCTGTCTAAACCTCTTCTTAAATAAAAGTAATACAATACAACACAATAAGACTCTGGGTAAGTCTTAGTGAGTCTGAGTAAGTCTTAGTGTTTTCCATCTTGTGCGATTTTTCAGGCAATGGTGTAGAACCTAGTGAGCGGGTGGCGCGGACTCGCCCGCTCTCGCTGCAGTTTTACTGTTGTCCCAGCATCACTGAGTATTCAGCAATGTTCCAGAAGTGATAGGAAGTAGCACAACTGTTTGGGAAGAGGGTCCTGAGGTAAGAAATAAAACAATAGCCAAGGAAAAGGTAGTTAATCTATAGAATGAGAATAAGCACAGCAACAATGCTGCACTGAGATTCTTTTTTTTTTAAGGAGCAACACAGGAACCAAATAAACATTCCCCTATCCCAGGGTTTCTCAACGTCCACACTGTTGACTTTTTGGTCTGGAAGATTCTTTGTCGTGGGGGGCGGTCCTGTGCACTGTCTATCCACTAGATGTCACAAGCAACCCCAGACACTCAGTTGTGACCATCATTAATGTCTCTAGAACTCTTGTCATTTTTGAACATTTGGAGATTCAAGAAGCTCTTGGGAAGTATCTCTCTGGAACACCCAGCATCCCCCGGGGGACTCTGCCCCCTTCCCTCATCCTGATCGGAAGCCTGAATTCAGCTACCACGGGGCCGACTGAGTGGCCCATGTGGAAGGGGAGCGGCCTCGGAGGACCAGCAGCCCCACAAACAAGAACCCCATAACTTGGTTTCTGGAGCAGCAGCGTGCGGTTGCAGGGAACCCTTCCAGAAAACTGCAAACTCTAGGGCAGTCCTGCCCAGAGCGAGATTGAGGGAGAAACCCCAGGTGAGGGGGCCAGTTTGGAGAATTACAGGCAACTTCACGCGCTGCCCAAGTATTTCTTGAGCACCTGCTCCTGGGGTGTAAGCTACAGTGTGCGAGGGGGCGGGGGGCGGGGATAGACAATACACCTATCAAGGTGGGGAGCCACTCTGGTGTTTCGAGGAGACTGTTCTTGCAGTTCACTCACAGCTCCCACCTCGGGGGTGGCCTTGAGCCCGGGGTCTGTGCCTCAGGGGCCCCTGCTCGGCCCGGGCATGCTCTCTCTTCCTCTCAGGGCTCACGTCCTGCCCGGACTCACTGCTTCACCTAAAACCCGGCTCCCACCCGGGTGGCGCCGCGCAGGGGCAGGGGGCGGAGCACACGGGGGCAGGGGCGGGGCTGTGCTCCAGAGCCACGCCTCCGAGCACCGCCCCTTCCCCCGCCCCCGACCACGCCGGCGTCCTCCCCTGCGGCCTCGCGCCCGCTCCGTCCCGCCGCGGACCCCGCCCCCGGGAAGGCGCCCGGCGTTCCCCTTTCCGCCTCAGGCACCCTGGCGGGGAACGCCGAGGAGCGACGTCCCGCGTTACCCTTACACAGGGTCGCCATCTAGTGACAGCAGGATATACTGCTGCGTGCAGACGTGAAGCCGGTCGCCGGTACGAGTTTGGAAGGTTCTGGTTAGTGCGGGAACGCTTTGGGGTGGGGACTGGACCCACTCCCAGGCACTGGGGTTGGGGGGAGGCTGATGGGTGGCCCTTCGCTCGCCTGCACCCCGCGGCCCGGGGGCCCCCTCCGCAGAGGAAGGCGGGCCTGGGCCACATCTGAGGAGGGCATCGTGTCAACAGTAGCCGGGTCTTCTCGAAAGGAGAGGCCGGCGGCGCCAGTGGGGTTAGCTCCGAGAGCCTGCCCTCGGCAGAAGACCTGTCTGCAGGTTGGTCTGGCTTAGCGAAGCCCGCTCTGTGTCGGGAGCGGGGAACGGTGTGCAGGGAGACAGGGGCACCGGAGGGAGCTCCGCCAGCTCCGAACAGGCCTGCCCCCGCGGAGCGCCAGCTCCAGAAGACAGGGCAGGGGAGGACAGAACTCCTAGGTTCCTGGAAAGGCCTCCGGGACAGCCAGCTCTCAAACTTGCTGCAGCACAGACCCAAGGAACAAGCGCACTCTGCGGCACACATCCAGGTGGGGACAAGACTCCAGTCGCCTATTTGTAGACACCCCCGAAACTGTACTAGGGGTTTTCTTGCATCCGCCAGGTTGGCTTCGTGGAGGGAGCGTGTTTCGGGACAGAGTACCGGGTCCAAACTCAGGTTGGGCTGCTCGCTGCTGGAAAATCAGTCCTCGAGAGACAAGTGATGGTGGGAAAGGAAAGGTCGTTTTATTCAGTAAGCAGGCAACTGGGAAGCTGGTGGACTAATGTCTCAAAGACCATCCTCTCCCTCCAGGCGAAGCCAGAGGGTTTTAGAGGGGAAGGGAAAGAGGGGAGGGGAGAGAAGGGGGCTGCATGCTGGAGAAGCAGGTGTCCAGGTGCTTAGTCTTATGTTGTCGGCATGATCCTGAACAGACTTGCTGGCATCTGCGGCAGCTGACCTTATCTTCTGAGAAAGTCTGGTCCTTCACCCCCAAGGCCAGTGGTCTGCAAATCTCAAAGAAAGTTAGTCCTGCTACAGATCAAGGGACTAAGGGGATAAGTGCCTTAATAGAAGCAGATGCAAACTGAGGACAGAGAGAGCAATCAGAGCTGCCATGTATGTTTGTGCAGGTTGCTCACTGCACAAGGGCACCTGGTGGCGGTGGAGGAGTGGGCACCGGGCACTGGGATCTGGAACTCAGCCCTTACCTGATCACAAAGCCATGCAACCTGGCAAGGGCTGTGTTGGCCAAGAGGAAGGGGAGCCCTCTTCAGATTCACCTGCTCTCCAAGAGCCTGCCCACAGGGGCCCCCTTTTCTTTCTCAGACACAGAGAGGGGCAGGCTGCAGCCCTTGGGGAGTTAGGTGACTGTCTTTGGGGAAAAGGCTCCTGCATGGAGCCCCAGCCCAGGATTCTTTGGTTTCTGTGGGCCACAGTCACCTCGCTTCTCCCACAAGTAGAAACTCCCTTGGAGGTCCACCGTGTGTTAGCCAGAGGGCCAAACCTTTTCTGGTGTTTGTGGTCTCCGTCAGGGGCACTGCTGGGGAACAATGTCAGTGCTCTTGTAAAAGCCTGGTATTTGATTATAAAGTTTTTCAGGCAAAAACATGTATTTGCACTGTTCTGTTGACTCTGGCCTGGTTCCCTAAGCCAAGCTGTGAACAGCCTGCCCCGGTTTCTCTTGTTCCCAGAATCCTTTAGGTGCAAAGACACACCTCTAGACTGAAAGGTCAGTATAGTCCCAGTGGACAAAGATTAAGGAGGCCCCAAAGGTGAGTTTATGTTTCTTCCATCTGGTCTATAAAATCTGAGCGGTTAAGAACTTTCTGATGTTGGAAATGGTTGAGGTGTTTCCTCCTGGTCTACCAGAGGACCAGGGGAAACATACACATTTCCTCAGGCTGCTGCAAGAAAGTACTACAGCCTCGGTGGCCTGGACCGCAGAAATGTACTGTCTCACACGTCTGGAGACGAGAAGTCCAAGATCCACCAGTCATCAGGACTGGCACCTTCTGAGGGCTCTCGGGGAGAACCTGCTCCTGGCCTCTCTCCCAGCTTCCAGTGCTTTGCTGGCGATCTCTGATGGGTTTTGGCTTGTAGACACATCACACCCATCTGCCTTTATGTTCACGTAGCATTCTCCCAGGATGCATGTCTGTGTCCAGATCTCCCCTTTTCATAATTACCCAGTTATACTGGATGAGGGCCGCCCCCCATGGCCTCACCGTGACTAATGACATCTCCAAAGAAGGTCACATTCTGAGGTACTGGGCGTTGGGGTTTCAACATACGCATTTGGGAGGACACAATTCAACTGAGGCCCTTAAGAACCCGAAACAAGATGGCGGTAAAGCCCTCAGTTTCTACCCACTGCTGTGGTGACATGAAAAGGGATGCGGGAGGGAGGGGACGTTCAGCTCATAAAAGCCGCAAGAAAGTTTTTCTTTCTGCGTCAGGTTTGTATCAGCATTGTGTTCTTATCCCCAGGTAAACAACAAAATCTCCAAGACAGACAGACAAGCCAGACAATCTCTTCCTTATGTGTTCCCAGACCATAAGGGAGAGGGAGGTTTCAATAACCAGAGTAGGCCGGGAGCTGCCTCAGTAGCCAGGGACAGGCACGTCCGTAGAAGGCCTCGCAGACCTGGCCTGCCCGAGCCATCGCAGCACGTTGTCCCTTTGGCTTTTCACATCATAAGTTTTCTTAATCATCGTCGTGAAGGTCTCCTTAAGGTTAAGGTTAACCATAACTTAAATGCTTGTGTTAGTTGATGGGTTTTGCTTGCAGAAATGTCCTAATTCTGGCTGCAAATCAGTGTTTAATTCCCCAGCATGGTGGCCAGAGGGGCTGTCATGCTATCTGAGTCATGGCATTTGAGTTATTTAAATCTGTCACATATAAAGTCATCCACAATCCGGATTTGGGGCTTGGGTGAGGCAGGTGGAGAAGAGCCTGCCGCAGATGGCCTGGGAACGCCTCACGGGCAGAGATGCGGTGAAATCAAGAAGCCACTGGTTAGAGCTTCATCCTGTAGACCAGAGGGCCTTATGTGGCTGTTCGTGGGTGGCCTATAATCTCTGACCCCCTAAAACTGAAAACTGAAAAGGTGTGTATTTTACTACAGAGGGGAGAAGATTGCCAGCTTTGATGCACTCTCAAAGGAACCTCTATCGAGAACGACTGACTTGACTCTCCTCCCCTCACACATCTTTATAGTAAAACAGTAAATTCAGTTTTCTTCTAATGGGTAGAAGCTCATCACGAAATTTAGATCCATTAGCAAAGGGAGCAAGACCTTTAAACTTGACAGTGGTCCATCTCCTGGTTTGGACCTTGAATTTCCTGTCAAGGTTATATATATGGACTTATAATTTGGAATGTGCAGGCTAGGTTCTTGTGGCCATGAATTGGCATATGTTGTGGTCCCCTGTGGCCTGGGGTCTCTGATGGGTCCCCACTAGTAGAAGTGTCTAGTCCTTTATGGAGAAGCGGGGACCTTGATGGAGCCCATGGACTTGGTCCCAAGATTGTTAGGGACGTAAGGCCCTTCCCCCAGCAGTTTGCCTCTGTGGAGGGTTTTTGTTCATGTCAGCTAGAGTTGAGTGGCAGATGACTTCTACTTGGGCCAAAGGATTCACATGTTTATAATTAGGACAGAAACTCATCCAATACTCTCTCTCTCTCTATGTGTGTGTGTCATGCTCCCACTTGTCTGGCCCTCCTCCAACCACTCTACCCTATTACATATATATGGATATTATATATATTTATAATGGATAATATTCATGGTACATAGTAGGGAGAGTTCTGTCTGCATCACAAAAAGGACAACCGGATATCACCTTTTACAGAAATAAAATAGGAAGTTTGAGCAAACTGTTTTAACTATTTTCTTTAGTAGATTTCCTTTACAGCCAGAGATCAATAGCCGCCCCCTCAGATGTCACTTCTTCCCTAACTCACAGATCTGGCTTTTACTTTGGGGACAGAAGCTTCTTTTTCTCGACTTGCTTGCATTTTCTCTTCAATGTCCTCTAGAAAGCTTGGGTCATTTTGACACACACGTACAGTGCTCCAGGAAGATCTCCGCCTTACCGTGTGCTCTGACCATCTCTCTCTGGCCTTCCCTCTCCTTGTATTTGACAGGCTGGCAATCATGTAATGCTCACTACCATGCAGCACTGTACAGCATCTGCCCAAATATGCTTGCTGTTTGGAAACTGTTTGCACAATAGCACCAAGAGCGTGGCCCAAGGACACCCCCTCCCCGGCCAAGCCTTATGCCGCAGAGTCAGCATCAGTGTGTCTTATTGTCTGGTGCTCCTGGTCTCCGTCAAATGCCATGCTCATTACCTGTCTTGTTAACCTGGGCCCCAGAAGGTCCTTACAACTTCCACTTTGGGGGCAGTGAGGGGATTTCAGGCTCTTTCTGGGCCATCTTTGGTCAGATGGGAAGGGTCTACACCTCGAGGGCGGTCCCAACAGGTGCAGGAGAGGTTTTCACGAACGTCCATGGTCAAGCAATGTCTTGGCTGTGGGCTTCCCCTGCTCATGCCAGTCTTGGGTCGTTGGGACCCCTGAGGCATGGCTGGCTCTGTGGGTGAGAGGTGGGGTCAGACTCCTGAGGCCCTAGAGAAAAGGGACGTGTGGTTTGGATGAAAGCCTGAGGGAAGATCTGGCCGTGAGGTGTGCTGCCATGGGGACTGGCAGGGAGGAGTGGCCATGACGGGGGTGGGGGTGCAGCATGTGGAGCTTCCCTGAATTCTGGGGCTATTCCCTTGTGAGGGGAGAGGGTGTCCCTGGGGAGTCACAGTGTTCACGCAGGACCCTCCTTTCTCTCACATGGACAAGTGCTCGAGTGTTCGAGGCCCTTCCGCTATCTGAGACGGGTCTCAGGAAGCAGGCCCACTGATGTTGGGGTGAGCAGAAGGGGCCGAGGGCACAGTTAGAGGCAGGTGAGAGGGCGCCATCACAGATGCAGAACAGGATTGAGAACAGGGCCTAGGAGGGCAGGGAACTCTGTGCCTCGGGCAGGTGACCCCACGCCTCG